GGCAGCTCACAGGTGGTGGTGAAGGAGCCACAATGTACCCTAGCGTGGCACAGGCTCTGGGCAGCCAGCCATGGGGAAGGGCCACACTCCCAGGTGCATGGCCGGGCTGCTGGTCTCAGCAAGAGCTGGCTTGGTCCTGAGGACTGGGGTGATCGCCCGCAGTCCTCCCCTGTCTCCCTGCCCCTACTCCTTACCTGAATTTCCAGCTCTGACACAGGGAAGCATGAACAGCCCCACCGTCTCAGGCCAGATGCCTCTGTTAGGTAGGGGCTTCCAGCTGGGTGGGGCAGGGCCGGCTGGGCCTTGCTGTTGCAGGATCCAGCTGTGGCTTCCCCTGGCTCCTACTGCCCTTGGCTCCTGTCATTTTTGACAGGCAGCCAGGGCCAGATAAATATTAATTTTATAAATTTTTTAGGGGTCCCGTGGGCTGGATAGAAGGGCCTGGCAGGCCATATTTTGCCCACCCCTGCTGTACAGCCATGAGAAAGAAGCTGCTTATGTAAGTTTGCAACACTTCAGCAATAAGATGCTCTGTACCAGGGGCTGTGCAGTGCCTGGGCCCAAATTGGAGGTTGGGCATTCACAGGTGTCCAGGGACCATGGTATGTTGGACAGGCAGGCCTGAGTCCAGCCAGCCACTGGCTGAGCCTAGCATCCCTGCACTCTCCTGGAGCCAGTGGGCTGCTGGGTGCTGGATGCAGGCAGCCAGCCTCCCCCACCCTGTTCCCAGGGTAGAACAGGACAGGACAGGACAGGACAGACTCCTGGCAGCACATGCTGCCATGGCTCCAGATCCCACTTCCCCCTCCCCTCCTCCTGCAGGCCAGCTGCTCTCCTATGCTGCCACCTAGCCAATGGTGCCCAGGGTTGGGGGGTACAGGACTCCCAGATGACTGAGACAAGGAGCTGCCTGTCCCCCCACAGGGGTCTTCTTGGGGGTGGTGCCCTGGGGGCCAGCCCCCGCCATGCTGCCACTGCACCCTAAGTATACCCCTGCTGTGGATGCTCTGGTCAGTGCATGAGGAGTTTTTTGCATGGAATGAGGGGTGCCTAACCCACTACTCCCTGATGCTGATGATAGCCATGATGCCCTGGGCACACCTGCACACCTGGTTATGGGACTGTGAGCTCTGATGGCACAGGGGGTAAACCCAAGCTGCCCTGCAACCGTTCACTGTCAAAGATGACATGACTACTTGCATCAACATGTTCCTTGGCATGTGAGAGGCCTGGGCCCACCTAGCTGTGGGGGCACAGGCCACCCAATAAAGTTTTGCACTGTCTTCTACCTCCCTATGTGCTATCTGGAGGGCTCCGGGGACAGGGGAGTGCAGGCAAGGAGCAGGGGCTGGGACAGAGGCCAGGGAAAGGTGTAGAGGCTGGGGGAAGGTGTAAGTGCGGTGGCAGGCAGGGCCCTTCCCCCAATGTGGGCCTTAACACTTGGCTGGGGCTGGCATGGCTGGTGGCTCTGCATGGTCATGGCTGTCAGCAACAGTGTGCGGTTTCAGGTGGTGTCCTTGAACAGCGGATGTGGCAGGTGGGCACCAAGCTGAGGGCTGCTGGCAATGGGTGGTGTCATAGCCGGCCATGCCTTGTGGTGGGGGGGTGGGGCTGCAGAGCTGGCATAGCAGGTGCTGACCCAGGCTCCCCAAGCTGCTGGTGGAGGGTGCAGCCAGGGAGCTTGGTGGGACAGGCTACTGAATGCCCAAGGTGAAGGTGGCCCTGCTGGCCAGAAGATGCTTGCAGCTGGGCCTGGGGGCTGGAAGCAGCTTGCAGCAGCCTGTAGCCTGGATGGTGCAGGCCTGGAAGGTGCATGGCACTGTGGTGCCAGGTACCAGTGCTGGGGTGCAGTCAGGCTGATGAGGCTAGCCTGTGGCCTGCCCAGGGGGACACCAGGACTAGAGTCATCTCAGGCTGCCTCCTTGTGTGCCCCAGGGTTCAAAATGCCTGCAGGCTTTTAAAGGCCTGAGGCAGGGGTTGCTATAGAGCAGCCCAGCCCTGGGGCAGCAAAGGCTCCCAGCCGGGAGCCCTGGGGCTAGCCTCAGGCCAGCCTTCTAGTGGCAGGGCTGACCCAAGAGCAAATTTGCTCCTGGGTCATGTTCTACATGTGCATTACTGCGCGGTAACTAATTGTGAATAAATTTGATACCTGCATTTGCAGATTATGAAAAGATGTTTTTAACAAATGACATCTGCAAGTGTATATAACATTTGTTCTGTATGTGGGTGCTGTTTTAGTTTTGCTAAATGAAAAAGAAAGCTAATAAAAGAGAGAGGGAAAACAATGCACCAATAGAGTGATAATTTTCATTGTAAATCAAATATTTGAATCAATCTAAATGGGTATTATGTCACTGATTTTCTAGAACAGGCCATCATGCTTGCATGCTAAGAGGAAGAATCATTTATGAAGCTGTCATTTAAGAGACAGACCTTAATATTTATCTATCAAAGGAAGAATAACATATTAGTTTGCAGAGAGACATTCAATTTTTTATTCTTATGTGTATATGAAAATGCTTATATGTCTTGCTATTAGGAGTGCAAACCTAACAAGCTAATTGTATGCAGTGTGCTTTTCTTTTTCAAGAAACTATTTCCCTATAGTCTTTTGCTGCAGAAACAAACTGGCTAGGTCACAGACAAGGTTGCTTTTATTGGACTTAGCCATCAAGCAAGGGTGCAATGTTAATATGTGATTTAAAATTATCTCTGATAATAGATGGAGCTGGTACCATCATCTGTTGTTAAAATTGCTAGACATGGGCTCTCATAAAGACCCTATTTCATTTCCTTGCCACTTTGGGCTGAAGTTTTTGATGCTACATGTCTGCCTCAGGCTGTAATTTGCAGGGGGAATTTCAGCAGAGAATTGAGCCATTTTGGGGAATCCAATTACAGATAAATGTTGTACAAATGTCAAAAAAGTATATAATCATTTAATCAGGAAGGCCGAGTGTCCCTGCTGTTTTGTGTAGCAAATGAGATAACTTCCATGCGTAATTCTAAATCATCCCCAGACCATGGTCTATTGTGTGCACTGAATGAAGCTGTGGTTCTGTGGAAAAAAAAAACCTAGTGCAGTCAACTCTCATTTGCATCAGTAACTGAGAAGAACAACAGCCTCTTACCAGCAACAGTTCTCCTGGGTATGTTGTCTGTGTCATGTATTCAGCTGACACTCTATAACAGCAGTAGCCATTTAGGAGCAGATATATACTATATGTGAGCAAATAAATAAAGACTGTATCCTCTTGCATAAACACAAAGAGCTGGAATTAAGGTTGATAGGGTAGACAGTTTATTATGCTAGGGGACCAAAGGGGTGAAAGCAAGCCTAACTCTCTTCTTGAAGGCTGCTCCTATGCAAGCTGCCCTGCTCCACCCTCCTGCACTGGGTCCTGCCTGCTGGGCCACAGAGGCAGCTCCTGCACGGTGCCGGTCTGGCCAGTAGGGCCATGTGAATTTCACTGGCTGTTTTGTTTTGACACTGTTTCAACTCATTTTGAGGTTGAAACAGCAAAATCAAAGAGAAACAAAGTGCGTCAAAATAGCATCGAAACAAAATGAGACTAGTCGAAATGTTTCAAAAGTCGAAATGTTTCGACCACAGTCTGGGGATGGGAAGTCAGTCCAACTGGGCTGACTTTTCATCCCCGGTGCTAGATCGCGCTGGAGTGGGGAGTCAGCCAAGCTGGGTTGCCTCCCCACCCCCTGCCCTAGATCACGCTGGGGCCGGGGAGTTGGCACTCCCCACCCTTGGCTTACTCTGGCACCAGGGATGGGGAGGCAGCCCAGCTTGATTTGGAGAGAGCTGTCTCATTGATTTGGAGAGAGATTACTCTATGGCTCATTCTCTAGTGTGGCAGAGTCAGGTATAATCTTAAACAACATGATGCCTGCATCACTTTGATTTATAAGGAAAGGAAGCACTTAAACAAGGGGAAGCAAAAGCCAGTGGCAGTCTTAAGGCAGTGTGACGAGTACAATCATGTAGGGTCCTGTGAACCTAGAAGCTTTGTGTTATGTCTACAAGTCATTTATAACACCATTCTCAATACTTTATTCACTGTCTCATGATTTTAGCACCAGAAGCCCCATTAGAGATAATATTTCCTACACCTCTTAGCACTTTACCCCATGACTAGGGCTAAGTTTCAGCTGTGCTTCTGGACTCATCCATTCTGTTTTGTAGGCCCAAGGCAAGCTGCAGTCAGAAACAAATTTGTCAGCTGTATGTAGTAGAGTTAGTCACCACAGCCTACAATGAATTGCTGTACTGAAAAAGCTAAGAACAGGTTTGAACCAGCCAACTAAATTACCTCAATGCAAAACATGCGTGGAGTGGGCCAGTCAGAGCATGAGACCACCTACTTATAGCTGGTAGATATCTTTTGTCCCACACCCTGCTGTTAAATAAAGGGACATTGTTTAACAGCATGTTTACCAGTTGGAATAATATTTCATACTTATTCAATCAAACAAATTTAACTTTTTCATATACTGTCTTTCTTATGGGCTTCTTCCTTGCCTGGGAAACCTTGCAAAAAGACAGGAGGAAAGAGTCATTATAGTCTGAAGGGCATCTGAAGCTGGGAAGATGTGGGAGACAGGATTGGTTATCAGTGAAGAAGGGTACCCGTGTACTGCACATAAGGCTCCACACAGCACAGCGGTGTTTCTGAACAAAGAAAAGAACGATATTGTGAGTTTCTACTCCAGGTAGAAGCAGGTCCAGTGGTTTCCACTAAATCAAGTTTAACACTGTGAATAAAATGGCTATGATGCATCAAAATTGAAGTGTAACATAAAGGCTGGTACACCATTTTGGTGGCAACAGTTACATTGTTTTCTACCTGCCAGGACTACTGGTATTGTAGTTTCATTTACAGATACAAAAGCTTCCTTTTAATTTGTTTGCATTTTACTATTAAATGAACAAGGAGAGATTCGTACTTACATGCTGTTTTAACTTCTATTTATATTTTGTTTAATTTCAGGGCATGTTCACATCACTGACTTTAACATAGCGACTATAGTAAAAGGATCAGAAAAAGCTTCTTCTATGGCTGGTACTAAGCCCTACATGGGTAAGTTCTGAAGACCACTTTAAATATAAAGTAAAAGCAGATAAAAAATTTTCAGTGAAGTGTGTCTAAAAAATATGGCCTGATGGAAATGCATGGTAGCTGTAAGCATCTTGTAATGTGTGCTGTGGTGCAACTGGAAATATATTAGCAATGGAGATCATCTTTCAGAAATGGAGAAGCTGGGAAAAGGTTTGGCTCTGCAAAAGTTTTAATCAGATTTTTTTGCTTAAGGAAACCCAGGACTCACCAGATATAATTTCATCTCAAGCCTCAAAGGGGCAGATGTGCATAATTGGTTATGTTGTTCTTATTTCTATTACGTGGAAGAGAACATGTAATACGAGCTGATATAATTTTAAGCACATGATAACATGCATTGGTAAACTGGGTTTTTATTAAGCAACCAAAGAACTTGAGAGTGGTAGTGGACGGGTTATATTCGACCTGGAGGGATGTGGGCAGTGGGGTCTCTCAGGGCTCGGTCCTCAGGCCTGCACTGTTCAACATCTTCATCAGTGACTTGGATGAGGGGGTAAAAAGTACCCTGTTCAAATTTGCTGATGCCACTAAGATGTGGGGGGATGTGGACATGCTAGAAGGGAGGAATAGGTTACAATCAGACCTAGACAGGTTACAGGGGTGGGCGGATGAGAATAGGATGGGATTCAACACTGACAAGTGCAAGGTGATGCACCTGGGTAGGAAGAACGAGCACCATACCTACAGGCTGGGGAACTCCGTTCTCATCAGTACAGAGGCAGAAAAGGATCTTGGAGTCATCATTGATGCCAAGATGAACATGGGCTGGCAGTGTGGGGATGCAGTCAGGAAGGCCAACTGCACCTTGTCATGCATCCACAGGTGCATCTCAAGCAGGTCCAAGGAGGTGATAGTCCCCCTCTATGCAGCAC